TTTCCTTTCTTTTTTTTTTGATACAGAGTCTCCCTGTATCCTCAGCTGAACTGGAACTCGCTATGTAGACCAGGCTGACCTTGACCTTACAGATATCCTGCCTCTGCCTCCACCATGAGCCACTACACCTGGCTTGATAGAAATTTTTTAAAGCCAAAAAATAATCAAAAAGTATAGGAAACATTTCTGGCATCAGTAGTCATCAGAAATACACGAATGAAAACCACAGTGAGATATATCTGTTGAAAAACTTATCAAAAGACAGGATAACAAATACTAGTCAGTATGCAGCTGACAATGTAAATTGGTACAACCATTGTGGAAAACATTAAGGGGATTCCTCGTGAATTAAACAGAGGGCTGCCACAGTGAACCACCCCACAACCTCATCGCTGTGTAGATATTGGGGAATTGAAATCACTGTCTTTTATGAAAAGATTTATTTTTACTTTTGTTAATGTATATATGTGTGTGTTCCTTGGGGCCAGAAGAGGGTGTTTGAATCTCTTAGAACTAAAGTGCTTGTGAGTCATCCAATATGGGTGTCTGGAACCAAACAGAGTCTTCTGGAAGAATAGCAAGCTCTCTCACCACTGAGCCATCTCCAGACCTGAAACCAGTGTCTTAAAGGGCAATCTCCCATTCTCACCGTGGCACTATTCACAGTAGCCCACCTATGAAAAGAATCTAAGTGTCTACCAATCGATGAACGGATCAAGAAGGTGTGGTGCACACACAGTGTTAAAGACGAAGGCAAGCCCAACATTTGCAGCAACATTGGCAAACTTGAAAAACATAATGCTTAGTGAAGTGATCTCAGCATAGATTGATGTAGAATCTAATCAGAACTGAATTGATAGAAGCTGAGAGGTGCTTTTCATTGGCTAGAGAATGCAGGAAATGGGGAGCTACTGGCTAAGTTTATGAAAGTTATCTCTGTAGGATTAATGCATTCTGGAAGTCTAATGTGAAATTTAGCCAGTATGGTTATTCATTTCTATTAATACTTAACATTCATTGAGAGTAGATCTTAAGCATTCTCACTATGTATATGACTGTAAGCCAAGAGCTTTATTAGTGTGGTTGTGATAATCATCTCACTGTTCATATACAGATATACAATTTATTTGTATGTGAAAATATGCTACATATCTTAAATATACACTTTTTACTAGCTATCCTTAGAAGAATTTGCCCAACACAAACAAGCAGCCACAAGATAAAGAAATCCCAAGCTTCCTCAACTTTGAGTAATCACATCTATTCACTGCTACATCACGTAGTGAATTATAGTTTATTTTAGAAGTTTTTCTCTGTTAAATATGAATATGGGGAATAAAGAGAGGTATCCATCCCAGAAGCCTACAAAATACTGCCTCATCTACTTCATCTCCTACCTAACCCCTCCTGTCCTGGCTACACAGCTCCCACTTCACCCTGTTGTGCTTGCTCATACCTTTGCTCTCTTTCAGGTGAACTTGAACATTTTCAGGGTGATTGGACCTGTGCTTTTTCACAAGTTCTTCTCATGCCCTTTCTTTACCTGGAAAACTATTGATCCAATGCGATTAGCCACTTTTCTCTCAATGATCCGTAACACAGCACAGACCTGTATGACATTGGCTGTTTTCCTGCTGTATTGAGTTAGCTGTCCCTCTGTTCTATGCTTCTTCCTGTCTCCCTATTCCTCAAGAGAGACAAAGAGATGGTTACACTTTTATTACATAAATCTGTGGGCCTAGACAATGAAGGTGTTTTTAAAAAATTTTCTAAAGTCTATTTCAACAAGGTAGTGACTCTCACTGCTTCCCAGGGAATGTTTGGAAGCCTGTGAGATGCTCTGTTACAGTGACAGAGGGTTGGTTGCCACTGGCATTTCTTGGTCAGGAACCAGGAACGCTGAGTGATCTGGAGTACACAGGACAGGCCATCCTCTCCAAATGCCACTCTTTCTATTGAGAACAACTTAATCTATTTTAGCAGAGAAAAGATAACAATGAGTTAAGCACAGCACAAGCTGCATCTCTGACTGCCATCAACAATTTGCACACACCATAAATAAGAGTCTTGTGCTCAGTGATCAGGTCGTTGAATGATGGGTTTCCCAATGGCTACATCTGTTTCTAACCCTGTTCCACTCCCTCCACATCCCATGGATGCCGAGTTTGGAGTGTATGACTAAACCCTATGAAAGTGTGGAGTGAAGTTTCCCTTTCCCAGGCAAACTTTGCTAGGCTGGGCTTTTCTCAAAGCCTAGGGAGGAGGGGGTGGAATTAAATTATATGCATTTCTTTTAACAAATGTGAGGGAAAATTTTATCTTAATGTTTCATCCACTGCACAGAAGGCTGAGAGTGACTAATTTCACTGATCTTTTCAAGAATCTATTTTTAGCAAGCCTTCTGGCTAAAGACATCAGTGGAGAGCATGGTACACAGTGGTACACAGATGTAAATCCCGTTTTCTCCCAGGAGATGTCAGAAAAGCTACCTGGTTCTAGTTGGCCAATGAGGTCCTTTTGTAGGATGCTTCTCTTCCTGCCTCCTAGTGATGTAGCTATGGTAACGAGGCCAGAGGAACTGTGTGGAGAGGAAACTTGGGAGCACCCTTCTTCTGGGAAGGTTCCTCAGTCCTTTGTTTCAAAGGTGACACTTTTGGAAACAGGTCTCTGATGCACAAAGTAAGCATTCCACGTTTTGTACAGTACTGTGTTATACACTGCCTAAAAGTTATGCTAGAAGAACTTACCTAGAAAGTTCAAAAGTTGGCATTTATTGGTTATTTTTTTGATAAAGTTGTGTGAAGCATGTTTTATATAAAAGCAAATTTGAGTCTATTAATGTATGCTTATTATTTATTTATTTATTT